TTCAGTTTGCTTGAACGAAAAGCATTAATAATATCTCTGTGCATTCTGGACTCTTACTTTACAGCAACTCTCATTCTTCCATGTAAGTGTTATCTAGAGCGATGTTAGATAACATAAACAGTTCAGTTTGCTTGAACGAAAAGCATTAATAATATCTCTGTGCATTCTGGACTCTTACTTTACAGCAACTCTCATTGTTCCATGTAAGTGTTATCTAGAGCGATGTTAGATAACATAAACAGTTCACCTGGCCGTGTTACAGGAAACTATTCAGACAACTAGTTTTAAAAATCAGAAGAATTGTTTGAGACGCAAATACAAAGGTTTGCAACTGGTTTAACACTCTAAAATCCAAGAAACTTTTTTTTTTTTGCAAATAATCTAACAAACTGATAGATTCAAATTCGATGACGAGGAATCCACTTTGAGACTAATAATGCTTGGAGACGGCTTGAATGGGTAATGAAGAAAAACTTTAATATAAGTTTAACATAACAGCAAATGTACAACGTTTCGACAAGGTACCTGATGATGACAAAACCTTGTCGAAACGTTATACAATTGCTGTTATGTTAAACTTATATTAAAGTTTTTCTTCATTACCTATTCAAGCCATCTCCAAGCATTATCAAACGAGATTATTAACTTTTAGTGTCATATTAAAGTGACAGAACGTTTCCATTAAATGTTAAAACTCATTTTATTGATTATGAGACTGTTTGTTGTACATGGTTAATATAAGACATTTTACTTTGCATTTTGCAGTAAAAGAATGAACCACATAAAGTGCCACAATGACACTTTAGAAAACAAGTTTAGACGCATGGGATGCAAAGAAGACTAAGCCTATTTTTGTGTGATGCTAACAGTTGTATATCTTCTAGTAAAAATTAGGCTTTTCTCCTTGAAATATATGAATTATATGAAAGACTTACAAAGAGGATATTAAAAGGACACTGACTCTCACCAGCGATTCTTTTATAATGGAAAATGCTGAATCACTTTAAACGCGTTATTAACAAACGTAATTACGTTGAGCTTTGATTGTCCTTTGCAGCTTTGAATATGTCATAAAATTTTTAATTTAGGAATAAAATGAATAATGATTGTTAAATTTTTCACAAACTAGTTTTATGTACAAAATTCTAAGAGGCACAAAAACAAAATTATAGCAATATGTGGTATAACCTAAGTTAATCTTAAAACTACTTAAACTTATTATTTTAATATGTTACGGTTTAAACGCCGAAAGATAGCGAAATATTTAAAAACGATTAGGTTTAAAAATTGTTATATTAAACAAATATAATGTACAGATGAACCTTATACATCTGATGGATGTAACCTTGTACACCTGATGGATGTAAATTTGTTGTACAGATGAAACTTGTACACCTGACCGATATACACTTGTACAAATAAAACTTGTACACCTAATGGATGTAAATCTGTTCTAGAAAGGGATGACTTGTATAGAAACTGACTCCTGTACGTACTTTTCCAATCCAGTAGCACAATTGTAAATAATGTATGTTTTGTACAAAGCTCTTGCATAAGCCTTTATATATAAGTAAGCATATCAGTGTACATACTAGTATAAACTACATTTTTATCAAATATACCATTAGATATCCAGTGTATATACCAGTATAAACTAGATTTTTATCAAATATACCATTAGATATCCAGTGTACATACTAGTATAAACTAGATTTTTATCAAATATACCATTAGATATCCAGTGTACATACTAGTATAAACTAGATTTTTATCAAATATACCATTAGATATCCAGTGTACATACTAGTATAAACTAAAAGCTAGTATGTACACTGGATATCTAATGGTATATTTGATAAAAATGTAGTTTATACTAGTATGTACACTGGATATCTAATGGTATATCTGATCAAAATGTAGTTTATACTAGTATGTACACTGGATATCTAATGGTATATTTGATAAAAATCAAACTACATTTTTATCAAATATACCATTAGATATCCAGTGTACATACTAGTATAAACTACATTTTTATCAGATATACCATTAGATATCCAGTGTATATACTAGTTGAAACTACATTTTTATACAATACAATTTTGGGTGTCCAGCGTACATACTAGCTTTAAACTACACTCTAGTTAGATGATGAGTTAGTTATACCATGCAAGCTTGAATACAACGTTACACTGTTGTCTGATAGTGAGTGGTGTTATTTTGTACAGAAGATGACTGCCCTTTGTTAATAAAACATGTGAGTTTGGACATAACGTGGAACTTTTGTTGAATGATAAATCTTGCAAGTTTGAACACAAATGTCACTGTTATTTGTTATGATGTGTTCGTCCAACAAGTGTACAAAACACAATAGTTGTGTTCTAAGTTATGAAATATTCACGTGAGAATACTGCTACATAATTTGGTCCAACCACAGTATCCTACCAAAAAAAAACAAAACATTATTTATAGCGATTATTCAATTAATAATCTTTATTACATAAATGTTTATTCTTTGATTTTTATAACCCATAAAACTTGTTTCTAACTAAAGTACAGCTTATATTTCAACAGAAATAGTACGAGAAGCTCTAAAGTTTGCATCTAAATTAGTCACATTGTGACTGTAGGTTATACGTCAATGAATGTTAATTAATTTTAAGTATATGCAGGCGAAGGTACTCTCAGAAACCAGCCCCTTTGGTCATGTAGCCCTCTTCTGTGAACCCGTGATTAAATAATATAAGGTGGCTTGTAGAAGTTTGGGTCTCATTCATGCAGGTGCTCAAGTTACACCATAGTTTTTTTCTGGGCTAGCCATTCACCCGTCAGTTTTATAGTTTTTTCTGGGCTAGCCTATTCACCCGCCAGTTTTATAGTTTTTTTCTGGGCTAGCCTATTCACTTGCCAGTTTTATAGTTTTTTTTCTGGGCTAGCCTATTCACCCACCAGTTTTATAGTTTTTTTTCTGGGCTAGCCTATTCACCCGCCAGTTTTATAATTTTTTTCTGGGCTAGCCTATTCACCCGCCAGTTTTGATGTTCTTACATAAGTAGCTTTTCTTTCAAATTACCAATCTTAACTGCGCTTCTTTAAAGTTTTGAATACAGTAACTCAGCTGCCCGAAGAAAATCTTGTTAGCAGGCAGCGGTTTATAGGACAGGCAGAGATTGGTTTTCTTACTGGCAGCTTATACTAGACCAGACAAGAGTTGGTTTTCTTACTGGCAGCTTATACTAGACCAGCCAAGAGTGACATTTAGATTTATTACCAGTCTGATTATGTTGTTTCACCATGTCTGTCGTCCTAAAGCTGATGATGAGGCTTAAATGTTATACACCTTACAGTACTGCAGATATTGAACTTTGCATATTATTCACTGTTAAGCTTGTTGCTTGTATTTAAATCTATAAAATCTTCAGTGACACCTAATTAAACAGTAAAACGTACGTGTTTAATATTAATTAGATACATTACTTCATCGTATAACAAAACATATTTAAAACACAGTTTAGTGTATAAATACGCATAAGTTCAACAGTAACATACTTTAAAAAATGACATTTCTTATACACGTCTTGTTATATATGTTAAAAATGTCTTTTCTTTTTCATCAGAGGTGAAATCGAAAAGAGAATCTGTGACGTAGAGGCCTAATACATTCTTTGATTGGCCCTACCCTCTACTGTGAACTGCAGTTTCGCTTATTCAAGGCTGAAATACCATTAGGTCTGTTATAATGGTGAGGTGTATGTAATGTCTATGATGTTTTGAGATAGATATGTCTAGGAATTTGTTTTTTAATACTTATCAATACATGTCTCATCAATCATAAACTTTTTTGACTC